GGTCTCCTGTAAACGCCACAGAATGAACAAGGGGCAGTGAGCATAGGTTACAGTCCAGGGAGGAGAAGCACAGGAAAGATGTCACTGCCCAAACTCAGCCTCAGAGCAGTGTGGGGCAGTGGAAGGAGGTCCGGACTCCAGACAATTGGGTGTACTCCCACCCAATAGACCCTCAGATGCTATTCAGCCCTAAGCCAGCCAGTCCACCTCTCTGAGCCTCAGTCTTCTCGTTGGCAAATGAAGTTCTTAAACTCCTTGCGCCTGAGTCCCTTCCAGCCACGACCTTCTGGACAGCACCCCCAAGGGCAACTAACACTTTATCAGGACTTCCGGTACAAGGCAGGAGCTTCCCTGGCTGGCACACACACCCGGGGGCCCAGAGTGCATGCAGACAGTGCTCAGGACATTTTCTGAAGGGTGTTAATAGTTGTTTACCAGGAAGTGGGGGACCTCTGTGGAAAATGCTAGATTAAAGAGAGCTAACAGGTATTCTTTGCTACAAGACTTCTCAGAACCTCTAATATATGCTCCAAAGAGGGAAGATTCAATGGACATAGAACCCTTTCTTGCAGAGCTCCCCAACGGACTGGGGTTCTGCAGGTCAGACTTGGAGATAGCTGGTCTCAGGAAATCCCTGGGCAGTTCCAGCAGCTCACACCTTCCCCGGGGCGCCTCAATGGCACAAAGCTTTCAGGATGGCAGCTAGAGTGGAGACCAGCACCAAGGAAAGAAATCCTCTGGCCCCAAGCCCCTCCGCAACTCAAGGCCCTCTTAGGTTCCCCCAAATGAGAGAAGTTTCCCCCAAATGAGAGAAGGCAAGGAGGAGATGGATGTCTGCATGTCCTGCCCTCTGCCCTAAGAACTGTGAGGCCACACAGCCTCCTGGAGTGGGCCCCCACCCTTCCCCAGCGCTCCAAGAATAAATGAACAACCACATCTTGCCCATCTAGATCCGGTACAATGGGCAGTGGGGAGTAAGTGCCTTGGTTTCAGAGGAAGAGTACTCCAGCTGTTCTGGGGCGGGCACAGCCCACTTGGGAGAGGAGGAGAGAAGTCAGCCCAGTGGGAAAGGCGTCCGGAGAAGACTCAGGGGCCTGATGTGAAACACAATGCACTTTATTGGCGACAGAACGGATGGGCAGAGGGGCCTGTGTGTTATATACATCAGAACTGTGGTGACCATTCCACCCAGGGAGGGGAACCCAGGAGCAGCGGAGGTGCTGGTCTGGCACAGGCAGGGGCCAGAGAGGCGCCTGAAATCCTCACGGCTGTGCTTGGTCAGGGATCCAGATGGAGGAGCAAGAGGCCCTGTCTTCCAGCCCCAAAGAGCGGTCCCTGAGGGGGGCGGGGGGAGGGACCGGAGCTGAGGGTTGGCTGAGGTCGGAGTGATGAAGCGGCTGCGGACGCGAGGCGCTGGGTGGCTGCGGTGCCCAGGCGCGTGCTTTATCTGGAGGAGTGCTGCGAGGACTGGGAGAACCTGACGCTGCCGCCCCGGCTGCTGCCCGAGCTGAAGCCTCCGCCACTGACCCCGCTGCGACCCCCGGAGCCAGAAGCAAAGCCGCTGCCGCCGCCGAATCCGCTGCCACCGCCAAGACCGCTGCTGCCGCCGAATCCGCCGCCGCCTGCCCGGCTGAAGCCGCTGCCTGCGCCCCCTGCGCCCCCTCCCACGCCGAAGCCACCGCCGTATCCGCCTCCGTAACCACCTGCCGAGGCCGACGTGGAGTTGCTGCTGCTGACCACCGCTGCAGGGGAGAGGACAGTGCAGCGATCAGCGCCCGCCGCCCACCTCACTGTACCACAATTAATGATCCACTGGGCCCAGGAGGACTGGGAGGCCATGACGGCAGCTTTACCCCTGATGACTATTGGCATCCATTCTAAGGTCATAAGGTGTTCACTGCCATAGTGTTATGTCATTATGAATTCTCCAGTGGTTCCTTCTACAGAGGTCAACTCTTGAGAGATTATCCAGAATTTCTCCTCCCATTAACAAGCTCCCTACTGGATATTCCCTATCCAACATATAGACCTATTAATAGTGCCCCAAACCCAGAACAATTACAAAAGTGTATCTGCTGCCTCCTCCACCCCAGAAAATCCCTCCAACTTCCATAGAAATATTTTTTAAATTAGTTGCTACTGCCCTGGGTTAGTACAGGTATTTCAGAATCCATTCTCCTTGTCAGGGCCACTTTGGCTACTTACAGATGCTGACGGCACTCTGGCACTCTCCAGACATCCTGTAGGGGAAAGCAAGAGAAAGATAGCTCCAGCACAAAGCCAATTTCCAACAAGTCCATGGATGAAGGTGATGAGTAGAGACCAGAATGAATTCAGAAGCCTGGCAAATCGGTACCCTTTCTCCACCCTTCTATGGGCCATAACAGAGCCCCCGTGTGTACTGGTTGCATATGCACTTTGGCTCCCTGTGGAGAGGGTGGCCTGCAAAGGCAGTGCTTCTCTGCAAGGCCTATAGAAGGTGGGGGCCTTTCTCTATACACAGGCCTCCATCCCCATTTACTTGGTCACTTATCTGGCCCTCAGCATGTGGCTTGGGTCAGGGAAGCGGGGGAGATGGAATTGGAGACACACCGGCACTCCTCGCCCTCCAGCAGCTTGCGGTAGGTGGCGATCTCCACGTCCAGGGCCAGCTTGACGTTCATCAGCTCCTGGTAGTCACGCAGCAGCCGGGCTAGGTCATCCTTGGCCTGCTGTAGGGCAGCCTGCAACTCCTGGAGCTTGGCATTGGCGTCCTTGAGGGCCAGCTCCCCACGCTGCTCAGCTTCCGCGATGGCCGTCTGCAGGTTGGCATTCTGGGGCAGGGGGAGGTAGGAGAAGGGATGAGCCCAGTGGCAGGGTCCCAGGCTCTCTGGGTCTTAGAATAGATTATCCCAGAGCAAGCATCTTAAAGTCGGCAGCAGCACCCCTTCCCTAGCACCTCTCTCTTGTCTTCATCCATGGAGATATTTCCCCCATGGATTACCAGCCATCTAGACTGGCTTGGTCTTAGAACTCTCTGGAGGCCAATGCTGCCTAAATGACCCCAGAAGTCCATTCCGGACTAGAAGTCCTGAGATCCTAGCCCCCACCCCTCACCCGTCTGCCCAGGTGCCAGCACCAGTTGCCATCCCACCTGCTTCTTGACGTTCTCGATCTCTGCTCGCAGCCTCTGGATCATCCTGTTGAGCTCCGAGATCTCACTCTTGGTGCTCTTCAGGTCATCCCCGTGCCTGCCGGCCGTGGTCTGCAGCTCTCCCAGCTGGAGAACAGAAGGGAAGATGGGATGTTAATGCAGCTTTGCCTGACTTGTTTCTCTGTCCCTAACATCAACCACCTAACCTTGAGGTGCTTAGTAAGCATTGGTTAAAATGACATTGGATTCTGTCTCAGCAGGGACACCTCTGAGGCAGCAGGGAAGAGAACATCTGGATTGTCGTGGTAGAAAATTCTCCCACTCTGCCGCCCCCAAGCAAGCTAGAAGTAGTCCCATGTGGCCTGGGAGGGGGGCAGTGCTTTCTGCAACTCTACAACCATTAGAGGGATGTCTCCAGAGAGTAGAACCAAGAGGGGTCCACCCAGTGACCACTAGGGACTCCCCACCCAGCAGTCCCCTAGGCCACAGCCTCCCTGAGACCCTCAACAGATCCTCTGAGCAGTGCCTAGCTCCCACCTTGGTCTGGTACAGGGCCTCAGCTTCAGCCTTGCTCCTCTGGGCGATCTCCTCGTACTGGGCCTTGACTTCAGCAATGATGCTGTCCAGGTCCAGGAAGCGGTTGTTGTCCATGGAGAGGACCACAGACGTGTCACTGACGTGGCTCTGCATCTGGGACAGCTCCTGCCAACACAGAAGGGCCTGTTTACTCTCGGGGCCTCTGCAACAAGCACACAGAGGCCCAGAGAGCCTCCTGATCAACAGACCCATTCACTGACTCAGCTCCGAATGTGCATCTGCCACACCTGCCTCCCATGTCTGCAGCCCGTCCTGCGGAGCCCCAACAAAGGACCTTATCTCTGGGCTCAGTCTTCCTGGGATCTAGACACCAGAATGCCCAGCCTCAAATCTGAAAACATCTCACCCTCCCTCCCTCTCTCCCTCTCTTAATAGGAAACATCCTCACCATATCATAGAGGGTCCTTAGGAAGTTGATCTCATCATTAAGGGCGTCCACCTTGGCCTGAAGCTCCACCTTGTTCATGTAGGCAGCGTCAACATCCTGAGAAAGATAGAAGCTTAAAGGCCTTATTCCCCCCAAAGAACAAACAACAAACTGCAGCTTAGCAAGAAAGAGTCAGAAGGACCAGGGCTGGTGACCCGTCAGTCCTCGTCCGAGGCTGGTCTCCACAGAAAGGAGTGATTCACATCTCATTGAGATGATTTAAGTTCAATCCTACTCAACAACTAAAAGTGAATGGGCTAACTCTTTTAGGGATCTTTCCAGACTAAGATGCACTTGGTTCCGTTTTTCGCTTCACCTGCCCAAACTTGGAAGCTCCATGGGAGTGGAGTAAGGAGATTCTCCCAACCCAGCCAGACACCTGTGCCTACAAGCCCCAGAACCTCACACAGAGCCCTTACCTTTTTCAGGGTCACAAAGTCATTCTCAGCAGCTGTACGCTTGTTGATTTCATCCTCATATCTATAAGAGTTAAAAAGAAAGAGCTGAGATTGAGTTTTGAGATAGTCATAAAAACCACTGTCCTCTGAAACTCTGCAAGTTCATCTCTTCCACCCTCTGTCCCTCTCCCACCCCTCTTAGATGAACACATCCTCTTTACTGTCTCCCTGTTGGTTAGGAGGACCAACAATTCCAATTTGTTCAGGCAGACTGTCCTGGGTTTAGCACTGAAAGTCCTGCTCCCTGGGAAACCCCTCAGTCCCGGGCAAATGGGGACGGTTGGTCACCACACCATAAGTTGTCCCAGCATCCCAGATCCTAGAACCAGGATCTTCCCCAACCTGGCCCAGAGGAAGTGCCTCCTCAACTCTCAACTCATCCCACGTGCCATAGCTTCATTTGTAAAGGACCATCCTTGAGGAAGGAAGGGGAAAGGGAAGCTCATAAACCAAGCTGTCCTCCATGGAGTAAAGAGAGGGGACGACGCTAAGTGACACCCCTGCCCAGTGGGCAGGAGGAATGCAGTCAGGGCCAGGACTCCGAGACAAGTAGCCCATGGCATTTTCCCACTCGTGCCTCTGTCACTCACTTCTTCTTGAAGTCCTCCACCAGGTCCTGCATGTTCCTCAACTCTGAGTCCAGGCGGCCTCTCTCCCCCAGGATGCTGTCCAGGTAGCTCCTCTGGGAGTTGATGTAGGCCTCAAAAAGGGGCTCCAGGTTGTTGGTGCCTGTGGTGGAGTTTGTGCCCTGCTGCTGGAGCAGGGTCCACTTGGTCTCCAGCACCTTGTTCTGTTGCTCCAGGAAGCGCACCTGCAATGCATTGGGGGAAGAAACATCAGGCAACACTCGCAACAGAGGAGCGGAGGGGCCTTGGCCAGGTGGGACTAGGTGTCTGTATCCCCCCATCTCCCAGCACAAAGGCCTAGAAAGGATGTGAAGATATATGCTCCTACTGTCGCTGGAGAGGGTACAGTCAGACAGTCACATCAGTCAGGCCACTAAAGATGCAGCATGGTTTGGAAAATTACAGAAGAAGGAGATATGGGTGCAGAAACTGGAAGTAGCCCCTGCCTGGAAGCAGGAGAGTTGTAAAGATGACCCCCTCTTGTTCCTGCGGATTTCATGACTATCCCAACTTCCAAAGATACAGTATACTCTGCAAAGATGTACTTAAACCTCAGCAGCGTAGTTTCCATCTAAGTCCCCACTGACACTCAGCCCTTCAAAGGGTGTGAACCACTGGGAACTGATACAGATTGGAATGCCATGATTGGCATGGCCTGAGAGAGACAGCGGTGTGGGGTCTCCCGGTCTGGAGGTCACCACGCACCCTTCTCTTCCTGACTAGGTTCATTAGGGTGCAGACTAAGTTGCAAGCTTCTCTGCAGCCCCTTGGGACTTAGGCTCCACGTAAGCCTCTTTAATCCATTCCCTAGGGCATCCACTTCCTTTGCCTGGCACAGAGATGGGCAGGGAACAGCCCTACTGGAAAGCCTCAGAAGGCAGCTCATGTTTGAAAAGCCCCGAGTTCCAAGTCAGACTCTTCCCTGCCGGTGGTCAGGGCCCTTGCCACGCACTGCCAGCTGCCAGCCTAGGTCTAGATAAGGCTACAGGTGGCAGACTTAGGCAGACAGTCAGACGAGCAGGACTTGAGCGTGTCTGGGTCCAAATAGGGGACCATTGTCTTTCCTACTCAGGTGACCATGTGGACAAGCTCATCAGCCCTGAACATCATCCCAGACCCTAGAGCTCTGCCTGACCCCTCCTGCTGCAGCCTGGCTGGCCCGAGATTGATGCTAAACACTGTGTCTAAATGTTGAACTCAAAGTCCCAGCCTAGGAATGCGGACCCAGGCAGAGCTTCATCACCTTGTCGATGAAGGAGGCGAACTTGTTGTTGAGGGTCTTGATCTGCTCCCGTTCCTGGGCCTTTACTTGCCCAATCTGGGGGTCAATCTCCACGTTGAGGGGCTGCAGGAGGCTCTGGTTGACAGTCACTTCCTGGATTCCCCCAGGGAAGCCACCACCAGGGCCAAAGCCACCAGGCCCACCAAAGCCACCAAGCCCGCCAAAGCCACCAGCTCCACCAAAACCACCAGCTCCACCAAAGCCACCAGCCCCTCCAAAGCCACCAGCTCCACCGAAGCCACCAGCTCCTCCAAAGCCACCTCCTATTCCTCTGCCACCACCAAAACCACCACCAAAGCCACCTCCATAGCCGCCCCCAAAGCCACCGCCACAGCTGCTACGCCCTCCCCAAAAGCCACCAGCCCGGGAGCCACCAGCCACGCTGATGGAGATGCTCTTGTTGCCACCCAGGTTGTAGAGGCTGCGACTGCCAAAGCCTCCTGCTCCGCTCCGGAACCCACAGGCCCCTCCGCCGGCTCCCCCAGAGCGAACTACAGAGCTCATCCTGCTGCTGCCGGAGACCACGGCAGAGCGGCCGGAGAAGCCCTGGCTCCCTCCACCAGATGTCTTGGAGACTTGTCTGCTCATGGTGAGAAAACTCAGTAAAGGAAAAGTGCGAGAGTTGAGCAGAGACACTGAGAGTCAGAGGAAGAGGGAAGGGAACTGAAGACCTGTGCAGAATAAATCCCTTTATATACATCTAGGAGTTTGCTGGGCTCCAACGAAGGAGAGATAATTAATCCCAAATAGTCATGGGTTGGGTTTGCCTCCAAGGCAATAAGTTTGTTCCAGGCTACTAAACGCACCTTGAAAATAATCTGAAATGGTAAAAGTGCTAAGGTGGCAGGCTTACCTGGCAGGGGTGGTGCTTGGCATTGCCCCATACTTGGGCATGGCCACCTTCTAGCTGCGCCTGGCAGGACCCAGGAGGCACGCTCATCCGTGTCAGGTTCTCAGCGGCCATCTGTCTGCCTGTCAGCTGCCCCTGGCCCTGCAGAGCTGGGCTCGGCTCTGGAAAGGATGGAGTGGAAGGTGGGTTGGGGAGGTTCTGGTTGTCTGGGTGGTAGAGACAGTGAAGCCCACCCAAGGTCTCAGGGAAGTATCTCAAGAGAAGGGCTGGTACGATTCACTCCACAGTCAATCCAGCTCCGTTCTGGGTTTGGGGTTGAAGTGATGACCTCTCCTCCTCCCTTCTTGGAAACAGTGCCCAGAACTATCACGAATCCACCTTGGGTTCCCCTTCTACCCCACGCTGTAGTTCAGGGTGCAGTGCCATTTGGGTTCGTGACCGTCTTCTGAGAAAACGGGCAGTTACCGCCTTTGAGCTTTGATGAGACATTAGTAAAATTCAACATGCCAAGTATGTGTGTTTTTTTTTTAATTTTATTTATTTATTTTTTCCCCCCAAAGCCCCAGTAGATAGTTGTATGTCATAGCTGCACATCCTTCTAGTTGCTGCATGTGGGACGCGGCCCCAGCATGGCCGGAGAGGCGGTGCGTCGGTGCACGCCCGGGATCCGAACCCAGGCCGCCAGCAGCAGAGCACGCGCACTTAACCACTAAGCCACGGGGCCGGCCCCGCCAAGTATGTGTTTGTTTTGAAAACTTTCCAGAGAAACTACACACGATTCCACATCTTGGGGCATCTCTAAGGCTTCCTTTCTTGCTCTCTGCATTTTTGGTGCTTCTCTGGATTCAGCCTGAGTCCCAGAGAACTGGAAATTCAAACATCAATTCTACCTCCAATTCAGCAGATAGTTACAGCTGGCCTAACTCGTGCCAGGCGCTATGCAAGCCAGTGGAGACTTGGTCGGGAACAAGAGACACGGGGCCCCTGTGGGAGCCTTCTCTGGTTGAGGACCTCTGTGAGGTCATGTCCTCGGTATCCATATGTCACCCACCCCAGCCTCAGGAGGCCAAACCTGGCAGAGCCGGCAGCACTGCCATACGTGTCTGACTCCAAAAGCCTGAGAATCTGCCAGCCTGGTGGTTTTCAGAGGCTTAGGGACTGGGCTTGGCTCATCCAAGACAAAAGCCTTTCTGCGCAGCCCCGGAGCCTGCCAGCTAAGCCTCTTATCTCTCCAGGACAGGCCTTTCTGCCTTCTGTCTGCTGCACGCTAGCCCTGCCCAGGGCGTGGCCTGTGTGGCCTTGGCAGGGGCCTCCTCAGAATGGGGGGAAAGGAGGAAAGGACCGGGGATTCGTCGCGGCTCACTGGTCAGGGTTGGGGATGGCCCGAGAGCAGAGGAAGTGACACTTTCCTCAGGGACCTGGTTCTCCCATTTCGTCCTTCCCTCCGCTGTCTGTTACCCCCAGACTATGTGACATCCTGTCCCCTTCCTCAGAATGAAGCCGGAAACTCTCCAGGAGTTTACAGTTTTGTTCATATACTGGACCCCTTGGTTCTCAGCACAGTGCTTCGCCAATAATAGATGCTCATAAATGTTGGTTGGTTGAATGAATCAATCAATCAATCAAGTGATGAATTAATGAATGAATTAAGCATTTATACCGGATTACACCCAAATAAAACTGATCAAAAGCTAGCTCAAATCGCATTAATGAGGTAGCCCAAGTTAACTGAGATTATCTTAGCATGAGGAATCCAGACCTTTCACATTTCCTGTTCAGAATTAAGAAAATGGACATACAGAGTGTATCAGCTCCTCCCCAGTGGAAAAAATGTAGAAAAACAGGGTCAAGAATCAATCAATCACAGAACCAACTTGGAGCTGACTGGGCACTTGAGGTCGCATAATCTCCCCACCCAGTCCTGGGGCTCTCTCTCCAGCATGTCTGACTCCTACCCCTGATCTTCCACAGCTGCTGCCCAGGCTTCCTGGCACGAGAAATTAGCTCAGGGCCCAGAGATGCCACACACAGACACCCTCCTCGTCTTTGCTCTCTTGGAGAAAACAAACCCAGAGCTGGACCAGCCCCTCCCCGTGACTAACCATGACCGAGACTATTTCAATTCCCTGTGTTTCAGCGTCTTAGCCAATAAAGATGGTCAATCATCTCTGCCCCTCTGGATCTCACAGGAATATAGCTGGATGAATGAAATCTCTGTCAAGGGTCTCAAGAAACATATCACAAAAATTAGGCCATATTTTTTTCCTATAATATTTAAGAGTATGCACTTTGGAGCCAAACAGACCCAGTGTTTACATTTCAGCTTTGGCACTGTATAGCCATGAGCAAGTTCTTTAACCACTCTGTGCCTCAGTTTCCTCATCTATAAAATTAAGTTATTAATGATACCTCTCTCATTGGGTCATTGTCATGCCTAGAAATTACCTAGCACCCTGTAAGTGTTCAGTGTGCACTATTATTTCTAACTATTTTTGTTTGCAAGTCACATGGAGAATTTCAGCTTTCGTAGCTGTCCAAAGAATCAATCCAATAAAATGGTGACTCCATTTGCAAATTATCCATTGAGGCCCCACAGGGAATGTGAGCACAGCTCGTGGCTAGAGAGATGGAAACCATATCCACTTCACGACTCGGGATGAAAGGAAGCTAACCTCAGCTTCCTGCACAACAGAGAGAAATCAGCAGATAAATATGAGGAATGTTCACTAAGCAGCGACTCTCGGTCGCCTGTGGTAGAGAGAATGGTTTTCAGAGAGCTCACAGTCTAGACAAGCCAACAATAAAGAGTGTGTGAAACTAAGTGCTGTGTCGTAGGCGCTGGGAGAGCATGGAGAATCAGAAAAGCAATGAGAAAGTGAGATCGCATGGGAAGGCTTCATGAAGAGAGGTGAGCCAAAACTTCGATGGAGGGCAGGAAAGGCATTCCAGCCCAGGGGATCATGAGCCCAGACTCAGCGTTGAAAACAAGCACGGCTGGATTAAGGAAGTGGAGACCGTGGCGGACTTTTGTCATTTGTGGCTACAAAACATCTTTGAACACATTTCCTATGTTTTGGTCATTTCCCACATTGTGATCCCTCCCTTCCTAGGGTAAAATCCAGAAAATACATTCCCAGACTCCTTTGCAGCTAGAGGCCAGGCCCGTGGCCTAGAACCTTCCTATGAGATAGACCCTCTTGAGACTTGGATTCTGATGTAGACAGTGTAAGGAGATGGCCATGGAGACAGCAATTGATCTTTCTGGAGAGCACAATGATGGAGACAAATGGACCTCCACGAGCAGAGGTGGAGATTTGTCATTTCGCCCCAAGCATCACGGGCCAGCAGCAGTGGTTACCATGTTTTCACCAGAGCGGCTGCAGGTGTGGCTGGCATGGTTCCAGGCGCAGAGCTCCCAGAGATGCATGAGCAACAATGTCCTTTAATAAATTATTTTCAGCTTACATTAGACAGAATGGATGTTCGTGTTTGCAAGTATGAGCCCCGATCAATACAGTGATGAGATAAGCCTGGGTAGAGCAGAAAGGGATTGTAGGAGAAGACGTGGGGGAAGTGGACGAGAACAGGATGGAGAGCCTGCCTTTTGCGTTAGACAGAATGAGGCTGCTGCATGGCCAGGTGTGGGGCCTGAAGTCCAGGGCAATGAGTCTCTAGGAATTCTTGAACCCAGAGTGAATCAGTATACCTTACTGCCCCCACTGGGGCACATGCTAGCCACTGCCAGAGCCCACTGATTCTGAGCCATACTTGTCATTCCTTTAGAGGGAATTAACTTGGAGATGAATCTTTGAGAAGCAAAGTCACAACCACCGTTGTCGTCAGGGAGTCCTAGATCTGGATTCTCCCCAGCAGGTGGTGAAAGGAGTGGAAAGAAGGGCTTATCTATTCTTATTCTTCAGCCAGGATTGCAGAAAGGACTTTGCCCATGAGGGGACAGGAAGCAAAACAAGGTTTGCGTGTACATTAGCAGAACTTGAATGCCAATTCTGATTGGAGAGTCGTGAGTGATGGAAATAATGGAAGAGGAGGAAGCAGTCAGTAAGTTGAAATTCTCGAAGGCCCCACCCAGCCCTCTGGACTTGAGGGACCCAATAACTATTGGGAGAAAACAGAGTTGGCTTACACTCAACCCCAACACCTGGATTATGTGAAGCTTAACTAAGTGTCCTAAGTACTTTCTCCCTGGAGAAAAGAGTGAGTCACTGTGTTGCAACGTATCAAACCAGAGCCTCACAGCGTGCTGCATCCAGGAGGCTAGCCAGTCCACTCCTCTACAGCAAGGCTGTACCCCCACCCCCGGGCTCTGCTACTCTTCAGGATCCCCGTGGAAGGCGATTGGGCAAATCTTCTGCCTTGCCCAGACCAGCAAGGCACCACCCTGACTCGAGGAAGGTCTTCTTGGATCTGGCTTTAATGCCTTCTGCTCCAGGGGGAGGCTGACTCCTTATCACGGGATCAGTGAAGCTGGGGTTGGCAGGGGCCTCCCCGGCCTGTCCACCATCACCATGGCGCCCACCCCTCTCTGGATCTGAAGGCCCCTTTTAACATCAAAAAATTATATTGACCTTCACATATGTCAGAACTTATTCTTTCAGTATCCTTTGAGAACATATATTTTTACTATGAATTCAGTAATACTTTAAATAGAATTACATTTTATAATCATGCACATTTGGAAAAGGCAATACATGTATGTGAAACACATACTATTTATTCAATCTACAGACATTTGTACACGTTTGGATCCTTGGATCCCTTGCAGTAACACACCACCACCCTAAC